TTCAGGTTAATGAACACCTGTCTTGCTTTTCCGATTCTGACTTTGACATCCTCATCTGTGCCTATGGCGCCTGTAGTTGAAACAGTGCTTCCTAGATAGGTGAAGGAGGCCACTTCCTTTAAGTTTCTCCCGTTGATAGTGACTGAGGCTTGTTGTTGTTGGTAGTGGTGTTGTTGGTTGGGTATCTTCATCACCTCTGTCTTCTCTAGATTTACTTGAAATCCCGTCTTCGCTGCCTCTTCTGTCAACTTGTTAGTTTTCACCTGTAGATCTTCAAGTTTGTGCGACATCGCCTGGTTAACTAGTAACTAGCCTGTCCTAAGCCCGGGTAAAGAGGGAAGGTTGGGCATGCGGCTAGCAACCCTACCCCGTAAAACAAATCTAACCGCTAAAGAAACTTCAAAGCACAAACAAAATATAACAAATCAAAGCTAATTAGGAGTAATTAAAGGTTAATAGACTTTCACTATATTGAGTGATGAGGTGAATACAATTCAGAAAGTGAGAGTAGGTTTTGAAACAGATCAGCAGATAAAATGAAAAAGCTCAACAAGGCTGACTTCAAAGGCCACCCTGGCAACTTCTGAAATAACCAATCAAGTTTCGTTATTCCGGCTCGAAAGGTAGTTTTTCATAAAGTAGAGGAACCTAACTGGTTATCTCAGGAGTTGCTAGGGTGGCCTTAATAGTCAATCCGCAACAAAGGATCATGAGATTTTGTATTTAAAAATTCATGAGATTAAAATTACGAAGGTAAAACAAAATTGACAGTCGTATCTTTCTGAATACATAGATCAAATGTGAGTCTTTTGACTGAAGTTGTTTTAGCAAGCCGAAAAACAGTGGGTTTCCGTTGTTTATCGATCACTGAACCATTTGAATACGTCGGCTTTTTGTCCAGTATCAATTACATACCAGGGGATCGCTCTATTTAAACCCTATGCACTCTTTAGACTTGCAGACACAGTTTTAGTTAACAACTGTTGAAACGTGTCAACTTTGGATCGTCTTAATGAGCATTTAGTCTGATATACACAGACTATCTTGGCGGCTGGTTAAATCTGTTTTGGTTTAACACAGTCTACGGTTCAACCAGTTGACCATTTAATCCTCTTTGAAGTCAAGATATAGAAGGACAGGCTTCTTATCAAATGTAATGCACTTGATTGTCTTCATTTCTTTCCTACCGTACTTATCAATGAACTTTTGTGGGTAACTATTTTCACACAGACAATGTTTGACTAAGGTCAGTTCTTCTTCAATTTTCTTCTCAAAGCGGTTTACGAGTAAGGATGAAAAGTGTTGTTACCAGACATTTTTTGTAACTCATTGGGCAAAATATATTGAAGTTTATATAAATATAGGTGTAAACCTTGGGCACTATGATAGAGTTCAATTCCACATTAGACTTGTTTATTTGATTTATAACACAGCGATACAGTATTATTTATCATTATTTATAACTGTATCACTGTAAGTTATAAATCTCCATTTCCGCAATCTGAATTTTGATTAAAGAATCAGCAAACAGCGTTGGATAACACAGGGAATAATAATGCCGTTATAATTCTTCGTTCGGACGACTTAGATGTCATCATAATGGACAGAAATATATGGACAAACAAAGTAGTGTCAATCTTAGGTGACTCACTTCAATTGCTGAGTGATCACCTTTATTCAGGCTTGTTAGCATTTTGTTTTTAACTTTAACTACCGAACTCTTGTGTAACAAATAGTTAAAACTTCGAAATCTTGTTTAACTGGCATAGTTTTTACTTTGTGGATGATTAACTGTATTGACTTTATTGGATAAGTAAGCCTTGTATTGGTACTAATTTTCTCTTGCTACCTGGTGCTCCAGGCACGGTCTATCATAAATTCTATCATAAATTCATACGTCTAAGGTGATAATTTCTAACTAATTAGAATTGTTCATTGATGTGGATCATATGAAACATTGTTATATGATTGTATTGAATCTCTTTAACTCTTTTATATTTCAGCAGTCTGACACTTTTTACTTTGGTTATTTTTCCCTCACAGCTGGTACATACTTCCATTCCATCTTTTTCTTCAAGAATTTAATATTCTTTAGTGCATACATGACGCTAAAGTTTGTTTTTTACGATTGGATCTGAATACTATATATCAAATAACTCGTTCCCACGCTTCCATTGACCTTTTCTTCCAATTAGCCTGGTGAACATAATTGGTTGTATACATGAAAATCAATAAATTCATCTAACGAACGTTTACTACCTATTGGTTTTCATCCATGTGTCGCATTATTCATCAGCTATATTATATGAAACAGTGAAATTCATGGGTGGGTCACTCAGCACCCTATATAATTCATGTTTTACTATGAATTGCGCAAAGCAAAATGCTATAGTATATGATAAGGTTGCTCAGATCCTTATAAGAAGCACTTAATCCCTGAAGCATTTCAAAGCTGATCGTTTTGCTGAAATGTTTTGAGAAAAAGTACATAAACCTACGTATAATTTGCAGAATGGTTAAAGAAACAGAATCAATAGTACATGCCATTCCGGAAAAGCCTAGAAATGGCGAAGGTCAATGTAAATATGCATAAACCATTTTATTCTCTTCATATGTCAACATTGCAATACACTTTCTGTTATCTTAGAGCCTTTTCTACTTACCGAGGAACTGAGTGATCATCAAGGACGTAGTCTGAAGGTTATTGTCCAAATGTCTACTCATATATATATATATATATATATATATATATATATATATATATATATTAAACGACATGAAATGTATGTCATGGTGTTAAGGCTTCTAAAATCTCATGAAAATTTTGTCTGTCACTTACATTCAGTCTTGAAAGAAACAGATATAAAAGTGTTTCACTTACCTGGTAACTAATTGGCGTAATTAGTGTGCTTCAGATAACAAATCGAGACAACTGTTGCTTGTAAGTAGGAACTACTAACCAAATAAGAAATGTTCATCACAGACGGACATCAATTGGACCACTGAAAACCTGGGAGCACCGAAAAGCTGTTTCGTCCCAGTTCTTCACTTCTCGGCAATACGCGTCCATCATTCCATAGAAGAATGAGTCCAAGAGCACTAAGTCTTTCACTGAGCACATCAGCATCCGGCTGATAACGATCGACCTATTTTGCGAACTGGGAGGAGTAGGAGGATATGAACTACTGTATTCCAACCCAGTGGCCGGAGTGTAGCGTGTTCACCGTGAGAACTGATGGTCCTGGGTACGGCACATTGCTGAGAAGTCACAAATTAGGATGAAGTGGTTGTTCGATGCTCTCAGGTTTTCATCGGTTCTTAAACTGATATAGGTTTCCAGTGAAAAATACCCTGGGATCAACCAATTATACACGATACCAAACAATGAAGATCTATTGAAGTTGTTTTCCAATATTTTTCATATTCAGACTAAGCAGTGGAAAGTTTAAGCGGAGAAAGCACTTTCTCTTGTTTTTTACTGAGAAGTTAAATTTCTGGTAACTATCCGAAGCTTTCTGCTGAAAGCAACTTTATATGAACTAATGTAGTTGCCATCAAAGTAAATTTACCATACGAACTGTTGTTATCAGTCAGAACCCCTGCAGCACATTGTTACACCAAAACATTCTTATAAAGGGTTTATGACGTTCACTCTAACTGTTAGGCAACTTTCAAGATATCCATCCAAGTGGTTGGCTCTATAATGGGACGCAACTATTCTGCAGATTTCTTAAGGATACATGGGTTGCACTTGATGAACTCTCAGATATGTTCTTGGTTAATATAATTCTGATGGCTATAAACAGCGATCAAACGTGTGCCACAGTAAGCAGCACTTCGCTCCTCAAATTTGTCCAGAGTAGGATCAGTTAGTTACATCACAAAGATAAGAGAAACTGCATATTTTCTGTGGTCCGATAAATGTATCGTTCAGCAATCAGGTCAATATAAATGAAGACAGATGTTAAGAATTCCATAATTTTTAGAAGGAACAAGGACAAATAAGACTGTTCACAACAATCATCTGATTAATCCCTAATTTATTCTAAGGTTTACATACCCCTTCCAAAGTTTCAATGCCGGATTTTTTTGAATAACACTAACTATACAAAGAATTTCAGGTATTCATCTATCATCTTCAATACTTGTTTATGTCTGAAACTTAGGTATTTAGTTGTTCATAACTGTTATTTGCATCATGCAACCGATTAGAGTTGACAGACTGTGAATAATTGTTTTTTTTTTCAACAGAAATGTTGACTAAATAATCACTAAGTCATTGGGACAAATAATTTCATAACTTCAAAGTCTTTCGAGTAGAATGAAGGCGGTATTTAAATGGGAGAAAACTAATCTTGGGTTAAGTTTGTGGAACATAATTTAGTTCTGCAAAAAGCAACAAATAATATCTTGGAATGTCCTGTTTATAAGTAGGGGAAATAAGATCCAAGTTTTTAATCGTTCTGATCCGACTGAAAGATCTAGTGACGAGTGAATAGTCTGAATAGTCTGAATAGTCTTCTTATTCAGCATTGAATTTCGTTTGTTTATATCAAAGAGATTAAAGCTATGCTCTGGAATTTAAAATAGCTCGTTGCAAAGAGAAACAGTACTAATGTGACAAGTTGATAGTGAAGAAACTAATCACATACCGTAAATGTTATTTTGAGTGGTGTAATACGCGTCATCCTTTTATACAGTCAAAATCGTTGAAAACGTCTCTACTCGTATGAAACAGTCAGTCAATAGAATATTATTGTTCATGACAAGTGAATGCAATTTTATTTGGTCGACAAGAAAATAAAGTTTATTTCAGAAATATACTATGAGACCAATAGGATTAGCAAGCAGTTTTACTAAAAAATATGTTTTAGAGAGAAGTCAGTCATTCAATATTTATCTACAAAATGTATGATAAGGAAAAACATTTTTCTGTCAGTTATTCAATTTTGAATCTGTCAGTTAGTCAGCATCTTTCAACACTACCTGGACTTTGTTGTTTATTTCTGCTCGTACTGTGCAATATAAACACGTGTACCAGAGGCAAATGCAAATTGTATCATCCGTCTAGCACTACTACTGTTGTTGTCACTTCCATTTGGTTGAATGCAGGCTAAAGAATAAACACCATTTGTCAGTTCTGTCACTGATCCTACTACCTAAATAGTAAAACAGCAAGAGAAACAAAAAAATAACTTTGATTAACAGGATGGCTTTGTCACAATTATACTGGGTTACAATGCGCCAAAATCTGCAGTCACTTTGGAGTCGCATGTGTACCTTTCACCAGTCGTTTCAACCTGACATTTGAATTCGTTCTTTTTTATCTTAAAGGGATAACATGGCTACTTCTAGCTTACAGATCTGTCTATATTCATTTTACCGCTTATGTTATGCTACTGTTTAAAAGTTAACTTGTAAGAATGCATATAAGTAGTATACACTGAAAATGTAATGTTAAAGAAAGGTGAATATTGAAATTCAGGACAAGAGATCATTGCAAACCGATAATTTGTTGTTAATTTATATAATTTTACCACTACGAGCTGTATTTTCTCAGCAAACAATTCCGCCTGCTTCATTGGCCTTTATTTTACTTTGGCTAATTTTGAAAATGATTTGTCCTACCAAGAAATCTGTCTGCTGTACTTTAAGAGGGGAATATATTCATCCACTGAATACAACTTGATGAAAAAAAGGTGAAACATGGGAACGCTTGGAAAATCTTACTGATTTCATTTCAGGCGCGCTAAACGTAAGGTGTATCAGAATTTCACGCTGAAGCTGCTAGTCACTCGGTATTCTACAGTTCATGGTAAAAAGCCGTGATCTTCAAATAAAATAGATAAATTAGAATTGGATCTTCACGTCAGAAGATTTACCTCCATTTGTATTACTAGTGTGATGTGACTCGATGGTACTAGGCAAACAGTACGTCAGGTGTAGTGGAAGATAAAAATAAGGCGGAAATTGAATAGGGAGACTTTTATGGTGCAGATATGACTAGGAGCCCATGCAGTATGCCCGATTGGTAACACAAAATGTGGTATATGCAACCGAAAGGTGAAAGATGTTGGCTTATTTCTGTACTTCTCTGAATAGACAATTTGGAAGGGACACCAAAAAACTAGTTCTAATGAGCTTCTAATCAGCAATGGATTATTGTGGCTAAAAAATAAACCAAAAATGGAAAAGTTGTCTATGTTTACGAGAAAATATCAGTATTCAGAGCTGTAAGAAATCAAACTCGAAAGTAGATTGATATATTCACAAATACTGCGACGAAAACTTTTGATCCCAAATCCAGGTTTAGTTTCTACTCGTTTCTACATGCAGGTGAAGTCAGGCTTTACCCCTTTGGATTTATGATCAAACTTCGAAAGATCTACCCGAACAGCTGAACAGCTCTAACCACTTTTCTGTGTGGTAGTATGGTGTTCATACTCAGTTCACGGAAAATTTGAGTAGTTTCCAAAGTGAGTACAAGTTGTAGAAGATTTTATTTTTTCCTAAAGAACGAAGTAGTTTGTTGAAGTAACTATTGAACTAACTAGCTGGATACCTCAACTTGTCAAATTTGGTGTCTGACTATAGAAGGCTATCTACAAGTAGTTTGGTAGCTTTCAGCGTTATACAGCACTCTCTTGCAATTTACATAACTACCTATAGTAGTATAAACTTTTGTATGCATTTTTCACATTTGTCACAGAAGTTCCGATAATATCAACTCAGGTTATTAAAGATTTAACTGGGTCGCGATGTACACTATACGCTGATATAAATGAGAGAGTAAAGTACCTTTCTCCTTTGAATTAAATATCATTAGCAAGTGACGGTTAGTCAGCAGAACCAGTTTTTCAAGCACATTTTTGTGAAGAAAATTTTCTCCGAGTAATGTAACTTTCATTTTGGATTAAGAGTCAGTCCGTATGGTGTACTTTTCTTCGAAAAAAAAATTAGTATTTAGTTGGAACGAAGATGCTGTATTCTTCTAAGAAAGACACGTTTTTTTGCACTATGCAATAAAACCAGCTGTTAGAAAAATATACTCTCTATATCTTACACTGGGCTAATGTGATAATATTCTAACGATATCGTTTTCAGATTTTTTGTCAGTTATGAAGTGTGAGAATTCAAGGTAACTTACATTTAGTGTAAGACGACTGATAATTTTTAGAATATTTGCACCTGATCCACCAAATCCAATGTAATAGGGACCAAGCCATTTCGCCACATAACCCTTTATATAAAAAAACAAATAGATCACAATCACTTTAGAAAACTGATTATAAAAAGTAACAAAATATTCATAATGACTAGTGATAAAATCATTTCAAGGAGGAATATTTATTACAGGCACAAAACTGTTTTCATTGGATGTAAAAGTTCAGTGTAAAAGCGTTCGTTTATTATATTTCTATAACTCTTGGCATCTTATAGTTAGTTGTTCACCTGTTTGTTTTCTATCTAATCACAGTTTTGTTTTCGTTTGTTTTAATGCTTATTTACTTTTGCCGCTCTTCTTGTATTGTGCTTATGAGTAATGCGATTCATTTAAATAACACAGGTTCATTAAACTCTACAGTGTTCTAACAATTTCCTCAACGCAGAGAATAATATACACATAAACTAGTTATATTTTGGGGAGTTGTCGCTCAAAGAAATGAAAATGTGCAACAAAACATGAAGTAAAGTAATTTAGGAGAAATAACGCCAACTTTCTAATCAATAACTTTCCTGTTTGGTAAATATCAGTTTATAATTGCTTCACACATATTTTTGATATCAATTTAACTGACTGATCATCTTATGACTTCAAATTCGCAGTCCACCGTACACTTTTAACACACTTTTTAGGTAATTCGATGCTTATCTTGACGCCTAATGCTGTGCAAGATTCCTGTTTCAGTGTGTGTAGAATAAGCTATCTTTAGTTCGTTTATTTGTGTCAACTATAGAATAAAACCAAATGTTTACAGCAGACATAGTTGTTGTCTTCCTTACGTACTTATAAATAGCACAAAGAAAGTTATGCGAGATTAAAGACTGTTTATCTGCATGCAGCTCTCATCAAATTTTATCGTTTAAAATGAAAGCTGTGAAATAGTTTGTGCTTTACAACGTAGTACCAAATTTTAAAATTTATTTTACTTCCAATCCATCAAACTAGATTCTGTATACTGCTTCAGTACATCTGTTATTACTCTTGTACTACTGACTGATCAGGAAACGTAATGTCAGGTCAAAGGCTGCTTTCTAGTAAATAAATGGCATTAGGCATTTTCATGTGCATGAGTCTGTAATAACATTTTACATCATATTTTGAGGTGATCGTATGACGTTAAACAGATAAACAGATAGAATTGTAAATAAGATAGAGTGGCTTACTATTGTTTTCTTAAACTGTGAAATAACTATATTGGTCAAAATAAACATATAGTTTGAATAGTAATTTTTCTCTTGTTTAATTATATGAGTTTTATCATTGAACACAAGTGAGATCATATTTGACTACATTGAAAATAAAATAAACATTTAACTTGTAATGAACTCCTTAATGTTATTTAAAAACCTACTGATGGACACAATTTACAACTATACTGAAAGCAAATATAAATGAGGTCTTCATATAATATAACTGAATGATTGTTAAAACATATCGCCTGAGTTCTAGATATAAAAGGAACTAGTTAGACTCTTAGTATTCTTGTAAATGATACCAGTTTACAAGATCAACACAACATATTATCTAGTTGTTGCTTACCCGTGTGGTTAAATAACTGGAAATAGTTACAGCGTGGTAACGAACTAATAAAATCGCTACTCTGAAGATAGAACTAAGGATTATCATTTACAAAATAGTCACTAGAATGCCATAAAATCTGTCTTTTTATTAATTTACTTTATGTATTAAACGCCGACAGTCAAATAAGACTTGGAGTCTCCAGTTTTTCAATTCAGTAAGACACTCTCAAGTAACTAAATAGATAGTCAACAACTGATATTTTTAACTCGACTTATTAGGTTTTCTTATTTGCAGAAGGCAGTCTACTTTTTAAGCGAAGCAGTAAAACGATGATTTGCTGTTAGTAATCATTAAAAGCACTCATCATCAAGTACAATCCGCATTTATTAATTACAGTGTTACAACTTAAGTTTTCTATTTAGCCACTTGTTTGATAATAAAGGCTGTTTTATGAATAAGCGTAAATAGTAGTAGGTTTCTCCTAGTATTTATTATACTGTGTTTTCATTTAAAAAAATATCACTCATAACAGCTATATATTATGGACCGAATCGATGGACTCCGTTCTTTTTGGATAAATAGGAATGGATTTTCACCTTATAACATTATAATTCATAAATCAACTCAGCTAAATGAACAAGTTAGTATCACATCGTTTCACTTTAACTGACTGTTTGCCATATATTTAAACAAACCCATTATACGCCTTTCAAGAGAAACTGAAGTTATTAAATCATCCCCTTTAGAAACGTTTACAGTGTTAATGTTATATCATAACAAAACAATGTAAACTACTTTGAAATACTTTCATTGCTGAATGAAAATAAAATAAACAGTTTCAATTTAATAATTTTGACATTACTAAACAAAAGGTAAAATGCTTTTTTTGGTTTTCACAGAGAGTTACAAAACTCTAACTCTTATGGAATCTATTATCAGCATTCAGATAAGCTAAAATTAAGCAGCTTCTATGAATTCTGTGTAACAAATTGGCAACTTTAAAAACCTTCTTGAGTGAGTGGTTCTGTGAGCTAGGGATTCATTTAGCAAGCACTTCACAAGGAAATGAAGCTATGATGCATTGATGACGATGTCTAACATGATATTAAAGTATTTGCCAAGTGAATCTCTAACTCAGAGAACTGCTCATTCTGAATATCCCAATCCTGAAATATAAATATCTGCCACAACTTTCAAAAGAAGTTAAGGTTTAACCCTTCTGTTCAATGTTTAAGTTAAAATTTGAAGTATTTTTTTAGAAAATTTGCTGTATAAAAGCTGTCAGTCCATTTGTTGTGAGATTTCATGTTCATATGACCGAATAAATATAATATAGAAAGTGTTCGATGAAAATACTAAGTTATGACTAAGTGGAAGAACATGAAAGTGGATGATTTGGCTTCCAACGGTTCACAATGTCTGTACGATTTGAAAACGTGTGAACTATTAGCTGTATGGAATTAGTATGCATATCTAAGTATGCTGTTTAATTGACGTTATATTCGAAAAGTTTTACCGGACTTAGATATTTTGTAAGAAGCTATAAAATGTGAATCGAACAAATGAATACTGATGTTTAATGCTGCAGTCTGAATGAGTAGTAAACCAGAAAACTTTGATGCACTGATAATAATTTCTAGTATGACATTAAAACATTTGCCAACTGAAACTTCAGCTCAGAGAAAGCGTCACTGTGAACGTTCAAACTGTAAGCTACAAATACTTGCTGCAATTTCTGAACGGTGAAGGTTTTATCCCCAGACAGTTCTTATTTATCTCGGTTAAATCTTCCGAACGGATGCTCTTGTGATAAAAACTTCCTTAAAATGTTTAAAGAAATGAAAAACAGCTCAGTCTTTCCTCTGAACATTTTACATGGGAATATTAAACAATATAACTTAGTATATTCAGGTATCATTTTACAATTTTTTGAAGTAATTCATAATTTACTAAGCTCTTTATCTGAATTTCAGCTCCAAAATATTTTAAACTGAATTACTTAGTAATCGTAACGAACTAAGCGTTGACACAACTGACCTTACTTGACCCATATTATACTGACAATTAACTACGACTGTAATCCTCTTTTCATCTTTTTAAGCGAGGCTTTACAAGAAAAAGACGAATGTTAATGTTTTTAAAAAGGGCTATGCAACTGTACAAGTAGTAATGTCCAAATGTCTGAAATCCCTTGTTGACGTTTAAGCACGACTCATTGTGTACATAATGTATACAGTTCGGCATGACCTAAAATAGTGAAGTACAGAGTTATAAGGAAAACTTGATCAGTCAGTACCGATCAGTTCTGTGCACTAAGAGATAGACAATTATATCGCTTACTCACCGATGACCAGCTTGTGTATAAAATCGTGTCTTACAACGTGTCAGTTGTGACCTGATTAACTCAAACCTTAAGTTCTTAACGTCAGCACCAAGTGATGCGGGTGTGAATAACAAGAGGGAACAACAGTTTCACATAGCTGAAGATACAATTTGCTGATAATGTGCCGATAATCAATAAAACCAAGTTCAGGAAATTCAATCCATTGGTTGTCTACATTTAATACTTTCAACATTTGTTTGTAAATTACAAGTTCCATTCATGAGACTAAAAAATACCTTCGATATTGAAAAATTCCCTTCATGTCCTAGTATACTGTCACCATATCAAAAAAGTAGTTTACAAACTGTACAATTTTTACTATTGGAAGATAGGTGAGGCTGCAAATCACTCAAGTCAATCTAACATTTTTACTGGTTGCAACTAAAATATGTTCACGTTTTAACCAGAGTGATTTAGACCAGACAATAGATCTTCTGAAAAAAGTGTACTACGTAAACAAATTATCATGCGAATAGAAAAATCAGATTTCGATCTCTGGACTTTTAGTACTAACAACCATCTTATGTTTGTATATAGTATGTAAAACATCAGACACGTTTCATGCTATGTAATGCTTCCACGTATGAAACAGTACAATATAGTAAGATAAGTGATTTATTTTTCATTATGGATAAATTCTCTTTTTATTATATCCTATGGATGAACAATTCAAGCGTAAAAACTTAGAGAGCTTAACACAAATCCAGATAAATTAAACTTCACTAATACATACTATTTGAAGAGTTTCAAGATGAAATTTATTCTACTAAGTAGGGGCAGCTGAAATGATAATTTCTGCAGTCGTTGGGTATTTCATCATTAAAGCATTACTTCATCTCACCAGCAATTCGACGATGTCCATATAAAAGTAACTGTATCAAGGAATTAATTGACGTTTAATCCTAGTTCTTCAGACTGCAACTCAATATTCATAAACCAGCACTTCTCTGAACAAAGAAAGCTAACTAAATAGAGGAGTTTGTATCATAATTTATGAATATGTACAACATGGTAGGAGCCTAAGGAACAGTAATGGTAACGACTATGGCTGAAACTTCATTTTCTATCAATAGGCAATCGAATTTGAAATGTTGGTCATTTATACTTTATCTGTTGAACCTGTTTTCATAACTTATCTGCTTTAGGGAAAAGTTTCGAGGGTATGACAAATTATTGCTGTACCGTGTTTACTTAACTCTCTTACCTCAAAACTTATATCCTTGAAACTACCACTGTTTTACTTATAGATTACAATTCACCAAATATTTATCCTAATTTATATTCGGAAATGGTAAATTAAAAGATGCATGTTGCTCATAATCCTGTGCTTCGAAACAAACACAATTTCAATGCTTGCACACTTCTGATTTTCGAAACGTTTTTATGTTCATTGAATGATGCTTAAAATAGAGTAGTTGCATCATCCTCTAAATTTCAAGCAGTTACTTACTGAAAATTTTCCTCTAGTTGGCTTTTTCTACTGAACCTTTTTTGGTACTTCCCAATAAGATGTACGCATGATGACGAACATCATGTTTCCTAAACCATACAATGCGACTGGAAAGAGTATAGTGTGATGTCATTGGCCTAGTCTACTTTTATTGTGTTCTAGTAGTTTGTGAAGAGTGGCTTTAAAAGGCACTCTAGCAACAACCAAAATAACTAATTAGACTTACCTGTTTTGTGGAAATCTGCCTTTCGAGCAGAAATGGAGAAAGCTAATTGGTGATTCTGAAGTTGTTAGAGTGGCTTTTAAAGTCGCTCTTTGTTAACATACTTTTCACAGATTTTACTAATAGTACGTTTGTACGTCATTAAATAGCAAATGAAAGAATTCTCGGGTGGGAAAAAGCCAACCTATTACTTTATATATTCGTGATATGACCGTCCTAAACATTCTCTACTAATATGAAATTATCTGGTCCTAATAAAACAGTATAATCACTCTGAACAATTTGTTAACTTCCCATACATTTGTATATGAAACTATCGAGAAATTTTACGTGTTCATGTAGTTGAGATAAGCTTTAGATTGTTAAGATGCATAAAATTATAAGATAGTGACATTATAAAGGCTATACATCACTCACTTATGCATGAATGTCTTGAAACTAGATTAGGAAATTGAGTAATTTATTGTAGAATTAGAAAACTGTGGTACCTAGCAGTGATTATTTAAAAGTCCATAGAAGTGACTACTCTTAACTATATTTAAGTAGACAAATAATGTGATGATCAATTTGCAAATTGCACGGTCCCGGTTGACATTTCTCTCAGCTGACAAGTTTGCCAACAGTCCAGTTGTTGCTTGGGAAACCATCCAACCAACACAAGAAAAGTTTCACAAAAGAGCTGAATTTTACTATTCTGAAGATGCTGAAACCACTCTAAGGTAATCAAATTATCTACAAATTCCTGAGAAAATCACACGACTGTGTATGATCAGGAGTGAAACAAGGTTGCTTACTATCCCACATGATATTCCTGATTGTGGTGGACTGGATCATGCAACAAACAGTGGGGAGCGAGAAGAGGGGGATACGCTAGCTGGACTGCGGAAAAGAACCTAGAAGACTTGGATTTCGCCGATGACTTGTGCCTGATGTCACATAAACTTGAAGATCTACAGGTGAAAACTAACAAGTTGATAGAAGAGGCAGCGAAGACGGGACTTCAGGTGAATATAGAGAAGACAGAGGTGATGAAGATACCCAACCAACAACACCACTACCAACAACAACAAACTCCAGTCACCATGAACGGGAGAAACTTAAAAGGAAGTAACCTCCTTCACTCACCTATCTAGGAAGCACTGTTTCAACTACAGGCGCCATAGGCACAGACGAGGATGTCAAAGTCAGAATCGGAAAAGCAAGCTAGGCGTTCATTAACCTGAAACCAGTGTGGAGATCTCCTGCACTGCACTCACCAAAAAGCATGGACAAGATCCGGATTTTCAACACCAAATCAGTCAAGTCAGTGCTTGTGTATGGTTCAGAGACTTGGCGCGTCACGAAATGGATTTCCAATAAACTACAGACATTCATCAACAACTGCCTACACTGGCTCGTTACTGAAGATCAGATGGCCAGAAAGAATAAGCAACAAGGAACTCTGGGAACGAACCAACAAAGCAAGAACCTATCACTCGACAAATATGCAGTTGAAGGAAGTGGAGATGGATTGGGCATACACTGAGAAGGTCGACTGGGGACATCACGCGTCAGGCCATTTGCTCGAGTGGAACCCCGATGGGAAGCGACGAGTGGGGCGTCGGTGCCGAGGGTGACATGGAGGAGGTCGTGCGAGGAGAAAATGAGAGCTTCTGGGCTGTCGTGGAACCAGGTTCAAAAGATCTCAGAGAACAGAGTGGGATGGAGACGTGCTACTGAAGCCCTATGTTCCACTAGGAACCCTAGGGACTAATAATAATAATGTGTATGATTATCTGAACAGTTGACTCCATAAAAATCAACGGTAACAACCTTATGAAATACCCATGAGAAATCAAGATGGCTTGTAGGTAGATAAATAACATGATATTTTTCTCAATAGTTGACTTTACAATAAAACTTCTGCTAACTAAACACCTTTTCTAGCTGAAAAACTTAGGGGAAGTCAAGTTTAATTTCGAAGGTCATTGTTCAAACGCTTCCGTAAGTACATCAGCAAATATGTCATATCAGTAAAAATAAGATTTATCATCATACCAAGTATATTGAGGAAAAATTATGTGTTAGAGTACATACCGAGTCATATGAGAATTTTTGGCCAGTGTCATTTTGTTGAATCATACTTAACAGAATTACTCCTTTCCTTTTGCTTTATCACATTTTTTAGACCTCTCTGATTGAAGCCCTAGAAATATATCTGTATATGAACTTGAAACCGAAATATTTATTAATACATCAATCCTGTAGCAAACCACTTGTGAGAAATTCGGTAGGGGTTTTTCTTTTTGTGTTTTTAAGGGAAACTTTATGTGTATGTGTGCCATAGCTGGACTCCTTACGTCACCGTTAGGCGGTTGTGGGTGATCGGCATAGAGTTCTGAACCTAATTTTGATGCTTGTTGGTGCTCGTCAGCGAAAAACACAATCTCAAGGAAACCTACTTCCCTTTATCGATTCAAACCCGTATCATTCTGCTCTGGAGTTCGAAGCAATGAATTATCCATGTTACGATTGACCTCTTGGTAGGTAGTCATAAGCAATTTTATATTGTTTATTCCTCATTACTTACGGAATTCTATAAAATAGAATAGGTAATTTTTCTGCTACCAACTTAGATATATTCATTTGTTAAAAATAAGTTTTTGCACGAAATACTAATCAACTAAAAAGATTATTTGATAGATGTGATTGTTAGAAATTGAAGTATTTTAGATGAAAAATTCTCTATTTCTGATACAGAATATGTGCGTCCTATTCATTAGTAAGCGATATTCGTATCTTTAACCGATGTATTGAAAAATTAAACTGAGTAATTTTTTTGCTTCTCCCATGAACTATATTTCAGTAAAGATAAAGGTACTGTGAAACACGAGTGGTTGTATAAAAACACTTGAACAGTGAGTTTGCGATCAAAAACTAGCGAAAGAGTCTCCTTTGTAGATCCGTACTTGGATTGTGAAACACATCAATGTAAAGTAATACAATTTTGTTTATGTTGAAGACTAATGAACTCTTAAATTCACTTGTTTAACGTAATATTTTGTATGAATGGTTAAATAACATTTCAGAAGAAGGGAATGTAAGGAAAACTGAAGCTAAAGGTTTTGGATTTTTACATGAGTAGTCACTGACACTGCAATAAAATGTATGCGTTCGTATTAACTCCACAAAGTGAATCTGTAAAATTTCAAAATTGTATTGATCACGGACTGGCGTCGTCTGGAGAAACATTGAAGACTTAGGAGCACCGGAGACCTGTATCGTTCTAGTGTAGCACTCCTCAGCAGTGCACATGCATGACCCTACTTCCACATTTTATGCAGAATATTGAACATTTTAGCTTCAATGAATAATAAACTTATTGAAAATCAAGATGTGTTTCAAAAAAGATGACAGTTATAAATTAAATATATTTTTTAAAAAACTATCTACTCACTTTACTTGCTCCATCATAACCATCTTGAGCTATTTCGGCGACTGGTTTACAGTAGTGCATAGCTCCTGTTTGTTTATTGACTATTTCAACCCCAGGTGGGATATACAGCTCATCGCCTTGATGCTCAGCTGAATTATAAAATTCAGCCATAAGTTCCTCGTTGAATTTCCATACCTAGTTAAAATAGATTCAAAAAGAGATGGTGTCTAGATTAAAAATTAGAAATTCCCTGCAAACACATAAGTATTTTCAGTTCTCATCACGATAACTACGCTGCATATCACGCTTCATTCTTCCTCTGAATAGGGCCTAATAGTTTATATGCAAAAACCGCCCTAGACCAAATACGAGGTATTAAAAACAGTTCTCTCTGCTAGTCTTAGGTTTTGGGTAGCGAAAGGTGAAGAACACTTGATATTACTTGATGATTTTTACTAATTTTTATCAAGACATATCTGTATGTTTGAGAACAGTACTTGGTATGCTTATACTCGCTAATTATTACATATTCTGCGGGAGTTACTGTCGAATTCTATTTATTGTTAATGATGATTTGAAGGACTTGTTGACAAGAAAAACTAAGCTTCGATTTTTTTCCATTTCCGGACTAATTTGACTGATGTAAAAGGTTATTACTAGAGATGTAATGCCACTAAGAGTTTATCTTCGGAATTCGGTGAAAAAATAAGAATGAATTAAGATATTACCTATTATCATAGAACCCGTTCATATCAACAACACAGTGTTTGAAACAGTTAGTCCCTTTTAGAATTTAGACAGCATAATTAGAAGAATAGTTTTATTTGAGCAATGTAGTGTATTTTTACAATGCATTTTAAACAGTCTGATCACACATTGACTTGTCAGATCAGTTTATATAGAAGCAAAGTATGAGAAGACAAATTGAACAAATGATATAACAGGGGATTAAAATTAAGAAAGATCAGGATAAAAAGGAACAGTAAAACAGTTGATCCTAATCTTGATAAGAAACACAAATTTACCAAGCTAGGTACAGTGTAGGAACAAGTTTTTCTTGTACACATAAGGGTGATTTCAGTTTGAGCATGGCTACCACTTCCGCAAGTCTCTGTAAGTGTCCCTGACTGTTCATATATAAAATTTTGAAAGCTGTTTGAAAAATATTTTTTTTGGTTGGTACTCATTATGAGTCGACACCATTTGGAGAAACACTGTCAAACTAAAAGCACTGGAAGACTGTTTTGTCCTGCTATGGGACTCCTCAGAAGTGCACAGTAGTGACCTCCCCAGAGATCGAACCCCGGGACTTTCAGGTTCCACTACCAGCACGTTACTATTGAGTAACTGGGTCTGAATCCAATGGGTCAGTGGCTCGATAGTAATGTGTTAGCTGTGGAACCTGAAGGTTCTGAGTACGATCCTTGGTGAGGTCACTGGTGTGCAATTCTGAGGCGTCCCATACCAAGACGAAACAGCAATCCAGTGCTCCTAGGTTTCCAATGTTTCTCAGACTAACATCAGTATGTGATGAATGCCAGCCTAAAATCAATGAATAAATCCCCAGACACCTTCAAAATAAATTGGTTTTGTGACCCATTTCTATAGTTTGCTTAGCTATAGATGAAGAGGGCCATCTCCCAACTGCTCTTATCAAAGTTTCACACGCAGTTTGTTTTGAAGACATCTATGTACATGCTATTCCAACCCTGAATCTACGGCTTGATGTCTTCTCCCTATGTATATGTGACCACACACCCATAAGTTTATAAACACAATGGGGTATGACGTAATCATTTTTAGAGTATGGTAATATATATGTATATATATCCTGACTTGTCTTAATTATAATCCCTTAATATCTAAATTGTTTCATTTGTCCTTCCAGCCTTCAGTTTATATAAATTCATTTGATGAGTGAATGAGTGGTCAGATTTCTATTTCATACTTGTAATTTCCGTTGTTATACTGGATCGAATTGATCAACCTCTATTGGTAGATGGGCTCCTGTACAGATGCCTTGATACTGCCGGATATTCATGATGTCGAACAAATTGACCCCATATAGCAACGGGAAATTATAAGTTTCAAACAATAAATAATACAAATTTTACAAGAAGTGGCTGTAGCACCCCAGTAGCCTAGTGGATAACGCCTTAGTGTTGGAAGCAATACCTACTGGGTTCAAGTCTCAGTAGAAAAAACATCACTAACCGGGATTCAGGTACATCCTGCCGACAAGTCCCAAATAGGACGAAATATGCATCCTGGGTTTCAATGAGAGTCACCAAGATGAACGCGACAATGTAACCAGATTGTTTGAAGTGTATTTTACGAATACATCACAAGTTCGCATAAACTTCGTCCTCTAATTATGCTATTAAAATAACACTGTACCGAATCGATAAACCGGCATGCTTTTCTTTAGAATTTTGAGAAACGCAAACTGAAACATAGTGCTTGCTGATGTTTATCAAGGAATGGGACAAAGCGTTTTGTGAAACCAGTATATATTCACTCAAACCTCTTCAATATGAATATTTAAAATGGAAATTTTAGACAGACGACTTGGATGCTATCCCCGTAACGTTTTTTATCTACTATTAGCAAAATCACCGGTGGTAGTTTAACTAAGTTATTTATGCGTGGAATGTTAGAAATTGATTCAGATAGTGTTTTCAGGCAAATTGAGCTAGTTGTCATACAGATTCATCAAGTTGTTGTTGTTCACTCTAATCTTTAGTAAGAAACTGCTGGGTTTTTTAAAAAGCTCACAATGCAGGAAAAGTTTTAAATGTTTCAAATAGCAAGAAGTCGATTTCATTGCATTGCATTACATTTAAATTATGCGACAGAATTATTAAATCTTGCCTGTTCTGTATACCACAACTGTACTATACTACCATACTATACTATACTTAGTGAACAGAGTTGTTACTGGATATCTTAGATGGTACAGCATTGTGTAATATTATTCAGGTACAGTTTTGATTGACTAGATGCTAGAATTTCTAATTTCTAGGCTATGATCGATTCTTGGACGGTTTTACTGATAATGGGTGAATAAACAGTTAGGTTGTACTACGACAATCCATATGTATACCTCTTTTGTGTAATCTTCCAGTCAAGTTTGCAAATAAAAGCATTCATCCTATCGTGGTAATCATGTATGCAACGTTAGTTGTAAATGATGATTTCCACTAAATACTGCTCAGTTGTACTCACTGAAAGTTCTTTCAGAGGTTATTGTTTGAACTTGCTGATCACATTCACTGTCGTTCTAAAATATTGTTGTACTGAGATTTAGACGTTGCACTAACTGAAATGTGGATGTTAGACTTATTCACTCATCTTTTGAACACAATGTCCTTATTTTCAATCCGACTTGACATGTACTAACCTCAGCAACTAGGTATTGTGAAAAACTCTATTATTAAGTGTGGTTCATAGTCTAGTACACAAAGTTGTATCAAAAGTTTAAGTTGCGTTGCTGAATTGCAAGTTGGTAACCTTTTCACATTCTAGTCTACCTAAAAATAAATTGCTGGATTAAATCTACCTAAACTTTATCTTTTTTGGTATTATTGGGGTTTCGACAATTAGGATGAAAAATTTATTTGAAATTGTTTTAATAAACCTCGACAATCTGTCAAATGTTCTGAAGTTATTCTGAAGTGTGTACATTGCAAGATTCATTTCATGGTAAGAATTTAATTTATTTGTTGTATTCTGTTTATGCTAAAATAAAATGTTTTAAGAAAAAACAATTACCTGCAGAATCGATTTATCTCGACGCCATGAACTTGACAATATATGATTTGATTCTGACTCAATTTCCAGGGCATCCGATCCACATATATGAGGACCATGATATATCCTGAAAAGATTCAAATAAATTCTAAACTTTCTTCTCATATAGAACATAATAAATTTTTTATTGAGAAAATTGATATTTTATACAATTCTGAGTGTGCATTAGTACATACAACTACGAGTAAAGAAAGTCCGATGAATCAGTAAAGAATGTTTACTGAAAAATTGTAATAAAAAATGAAAAATGTTTAAACTTTAGAATGAAGTCATATTAGCAAACATTCTCCTGTTCGTCATCCCATTGTACAGCGATATTACTCTTGGTATTTTTGCTTGATATTATGGCTTCTTCTTTATAAAGCCTTCGTCAGTGGGTCATTATCATCCCTTGTGCTTTTCAGAGTTGTTAAATATGCTACTGATTTATGTCCTTATAAGTAGCGCTTACCAAGCTACCGCTATCACTATTATTGCTACAGCATTTTGTTATTTTTGTTCAAACCATCAATAAGGCAACAGAAGTAGTTGTTTTTGTCAACGTTTTGAATATTTAACTATTAAAATCAAAAGTGAAGGTTGTGAGCAGACAATATCAACACATTTGTCATGCTTGAGCCCAACAGCTTTGGAATTTACCACGGTTACATAAAAATCTACCTCAAGAAGTTAAGATAACTGGCACAACTAAATTAGAGATCCCCATTAAGACATAAAACAAAGATTTTAGAGAGGAAGATTTGTTGTTGTACAGCTTTTGAAAATGAAATCGTTACAAGGAGTGATTTTATTTGCTGGAATCTTTGTTTTATAACTGGCAAAATAAAGTCTTCAGGCACTTATTACTTTTCCGATACTTAACATAGATTTGCAATAGTGCTGTCATCGTTAAGATTCTTATGTAACTACACTATGGTCACTGCAGTATTTCATCAGAATATTTGCATAGAAAAGTGATATGGTTATAAGTTTAGATATTCGAAAATTTTGTATTCGGTTTCTTGTTATTATGGTTGATAAATAATACTATTGAAAAATGTATGTTACACATTTCGATTGAGTTTGATGAAGACAGATTATGGCTACTTCAAAAATGTAACTTCAGTGAGTTAGTATATTTCCTGATACTGAATAAAAATCGAACAATGGCTAGTTGCTAGAGATAAGGAAAGTAACCAACTTCATGCTGTCAAGTCCTATTTGTGGATGGAATTCTATCAGTCATTTTGCAGTGTGATCACCAAGCTAGGAGACTCACCATCGCAATGCACTGGGACAGATGTTAGTTGAATAGGGAAAATCAGCAGGAACCCCTAGACATTGCAACATTGTAAAATGATACATAGAATTCATTGGGAACACAGGACTAGACAACATATAGTTGGTTACTCCACCCTCTAATGCAGTCCTCCAGGTGACCTGAGGCCCAAATAGCTGAGTGGTAACTTCTGCAACTGTAGCATTGGATGACGTGGATTCAGATATCACGCAGAACTTTTGTTTTATCGTGGTTACAGAAATAATTTGCTGAGGAGTCCCAAAAAATATGAAACTTAGGTCTAGGACTCACTGCCAATTACTTCAGTCCAACTAAAATATGTGAATTATAGACCCTCTAAAGTGCTGGTTTAGTTAGTTTTCAGTCAAGGAAGAGAGAGCAGAGAGCTCATTAAATTATCCAGAAAGAGTAGAATAAACTTTCTTTTTCAATGTTTGAAAATGTAAAAAATAAATTCTGTGAAATTCTTGTTAAGAAGGAAAAGTATCAAAGTGGTTTTTCAGTGAGATTACTAATAATAAACTTTATTTCAATGAACTAATCAATTGTAGGTCAGTTACAGAATATTAATTAACCTCTTGGAATAATTATCTTATTACACAAATTAACACACGAAGTGGGCAACACTAATAGTTCATGGTTTACAAATAAGCGAATGCAAAATTCTGGCAAATGAGGTAAGCATTCAACTTAATATTTATCGAAATTTTAAATTATGTACGGAATCATTTTCATATAAAGTTGCATTTCTTTACTACTATCTTTGTAAAAACTGGTGAAGTGATTTTATTTTGTTTACATAGCTGTACAACTTACTGTATTTGACATTTAAAAAAAGAGTTCAGTCATGGTAAAAGGCTTACCGATGGCATCTGAGGTATTTTCAAAAAGAAATAAAGTGGAATTCTTCTTGAATCTATCTACTAAACTCTCCTTTCAAAATAAGCTACAGAAGGATGGATAGTTAAAAATCTTTGTTCCATTGGATTATGAAGAGTTATTTTCAGTCTTTTAATGAAAAGTTTCTCATGTTAATACATTTTAGTTTCCATTCATATTCACTAGAATTCAGTTAAAACGAGCTTTCAACCTGATCTTTCCCACTCTGATATGCATAAACAGAGTTAAGTAACGGTGATTGACCAACTATTTAGGTAATTCTGTACTCAAGAATATTACCAATCGAGTCTAAGTTATCGTTAAGTTGTTTAGATGATAACACTGATGATCTTGCCTGCGCAGAATCTGTCAAAAGTATGTGTAGAAGTTGTTGAAGCTGCTTTCATCCATATTGATTTACATCATTTATTTAAGTTACAGTATGTAAATATGTGCTACTGAGAATACTTGGAATTGCCTAGCTTGAAAATTCCATTTTTCCCCTGTAATGACAACATACAATATTTTGTTTCGTACCTTTTTGCAACTTTGGTTGTCTCGACTTGGAAACATGATTCTTGAGCTACACTTTCCAATCACGATAGAATTCTACTATTATCATTTGTGGTATGCTTACTAGGCGCGTAAATCAATACAAAAGTTCACTTGACTTCCTTTTATTCGTAAGTAATGTTTCCAAGAATATTGACGCCTAGCGTTGATGCTTGAACTTTCAAGCAAGATAGTTTAAAAACCATAATCCATTAGATTGTAGCATGCTAAATGTGATATGTCACTGTGGATTCAAGACACTATCACACTGAATGCCAAGTACATCTTATATTTTTAATACACACATCAAAATCTGTTACCCTAATTACATATGAGAGCATAAAAACAAGTGAATCAGGAGAAGTGGATCTTATTTTATTCAGACCCCAATTAAACTACATAAATCTGCATTCACCATTATATTTGTGTACACTACTAACTATATACGAGGATACAATAATCTTACAAGTTATTTAACCTTCGTATCCAAACGAATTCTGTGAACCACCTTTGCTATAACCTTTTAACCGATGAATAAAATTTGTGGTGTATTATCTTTGACACGATATTCACAGTCAGAATTTCGGTTGTTCTGGATATCAATTAAATTCTTAAGCGCACTAACATCCGATGTGTAACTTCTGAGATTCAAACTGACACCAATCAGAACTGCAGTAGTAGAAACTAAAATGAACTGCTGAGTCGGTGTATAATTAGATGAAATTATTTCCCAAAGTTGATCTTTAGGGAATTTTTACTAGCCTAAATTTGACTAAACTTTTAAAATCCTTCTAAAATGTCATTGTATTCAACAGTTTAAAGGCTCTAGGCTAGTGTGAAGTTTGAAAATAGTTCATCACTACCTTCAGTCACATCCTCTAGAATTATTTGGTGACTATATAACCCTGTCATTAAAGACTTACTCTGATTTCACTACTTAAACTAAACCTTGTACCTGAGATATCTAGACTTATTAGAGCTTACTGAATTTGACTGAAAAACGTGTATAAGCTACTCAGTCAAAATGTTTTTATTGGAGTAAAAAAGGTGATCGTGATTGTTACCGAAGATGAGTGCAGGTGGAGCCTTATTCTTATAGTTTGATGATTCTCATAATCATAGCCAATGATAATTTTAGACAACTTTTTTCGCTTCACATAGATATACTGACTACTGTAGTATAAAGCTTTGTACTTTATGTACAAAAGGAAAGAAGTGACATCAAGTTGCATTAAACAAAAGCCCTGAGAAAATTTGTAACATAAGGACATTTAACAAATTTTAACAGATGGTGAGTATTTATTTGATATTTATATTCACTGAGTATACGTAGAGTACAAAAAGATCAGTCAGATAAAGACCGAAACAGCTTACCAACTTCAATACAAAAGATTATTTAAAATCCTAATAAGATTATCATTGTAATATACAGTGACGAATAAACACTAATGACCGGTATGTTATATAAGTATTATATAATATTCAAAAGTGTACTAGCCATTTAAATTTGTTTACTAAATTAAGATCTCATTCATTCTTTAAAACTAGTCTTAAAGATAAGAAATACCTTTTGAAATTATTTATTTAGAATGACTAAAATGAAGACAATTTTCAGTTTATTTGAAAAATTAAGTTTTAGTGTTCAAGGGTAGAATGTATTCAAAACAGAAACAATTACTATTTTGGCTACGTAAAGTTAAGCAATGTACATAATGTTTTTCAACACAGAGATCAGGTTTAAGGTTATGAATTTCTAATGATTCGCCTATGGGTAAATGATGCGGTTGAAGGCCTTTAGAACTGTGGAAAGATAGTAAAGTTCTTCAAAGAAACTGACAGCAGGAGCCAGATGTCCGGAAATGGCAGTGTTTAAGGATAGAACTGTTGACACTTTTTTTCCTTTCTGTCTCTCTCTCTCCGTGATTAACTAAACTGAGTAGTGTTCAGAAACATGTTTATAGAATCAACACTGTATACGGTCAATGTACGTTGCTCCATAGGAACAATTTAACTGCCAAACATTACGATAAACATGTATCCGTATTGATCAACAATAGATCTTTTTGTTTTCTAATTATTTTGAATACGATTGTGCAGATTTAACAGATTAAATTGTCGAAACGAAGGATTTATTCACCATTATGTCTTTGTTTTTTTGTCATTTTGCATTTTAGAAACAAAGAACTAAACACAGAACAATATGCCTGCTGTAAATTTAAGTCAAACTTCATCATAGCATCAGAGCAAAATCACATAAGGAGGTTAACTTCCAAGTTTCAGTGGCTTTTTTCAGTCACCTACAAAACATATTTAGCTAGAATGCTGTATTAAGCGGTGGAAAAGTTAGCTTGAGTGTA